CAACCATATAACCCAGAATATCTGCTTTGAACTGGAATATCTAAGTCCACACTGCCATATATCCCAGTTCAAAGCAGATAATATGGGATTTTGTTTCAGTTGTGTGGAAGAGGTCCTGGTCAGGTTTCATCTGAAGTACTGCATTCAGTTCTGGGTGCCTTATTTTAAGAAGGATATAGGCAAGTTGGAGTGGGTTCAGAAAAGGGCCAAAAGATAAGAGGAGGAAGATCAAAACACAAAATGAGGAAAAGTTGAAGGAGTTGTGTATGTTCAACCTGGTGAAGGAAAGATTGAGGGGTGACATGATAGCCCTCTTTAAATATCTCAGAAGCTCTCATGTAAAGGACAGATTTATTCTCTGTTGTCCCAAAGGGTAAGAACACATTGAATGGCTTGAAGTTACAGGAGAGCAGATTTTGATTGATACTTTAGAAGGAACTTCTTGTTACTAAGCACAATTTATTTTGTGGAACCAATTATTTAGAGATGTGGTCGGGATTTCTTCTATGGATGTCTCCAAAAAGAAGCTGCTGGGGATGACTTGGCTAGAGATCCTACACTGAGCAGGGATTTGAACTCAATGATCCTTTCAACTCTATGATTCCAATTTCTATGTTATGGGACCAGCTTTGCTTCTTCTTAAAACAGCAGCCCCTCCTCTCTTCCTCGTATGATCTGGGACTGCAAAATGTGTGATATGAAGTCACTTGCAGGCCTTTCATAAGATGTTTTGTTTCAACAGGCCTTTGAGAGCTGCCTGCTCAGGGGGAAAGTGCCTTTGAAGTGCTTATTTGTTTATATTGGGACTTCTTCTTCTTCCTAATGGTTATATTTTAGCAGCTTTTGATTTTATTGATAGTTTAATTACATTATTTAATTTGTATATTGGAAAAATGTAGCCATCTCTCTTTTATCCTTTTAAAGTTGCCCCGAGTCCCAGAGTAGGAAAAAGGCAGGGTATACCTATAATAAATATAAATATAATAATAACAATAACAGTTTCTGAAACTCTGTTTTCTCTACGAGAAGGACAGCTCTTCACTGTCCTTCCTGCAACCCTTCATCCACTGAAACTTAGAAGACCGTTTTCCTCTTTTCCCACTGAAACCAATGTTTACATGTACAAACATCAAAGCATTATAAAATTATATGCTAGAAATAACCAGGCAGCAAAATAGTTATATTTCTAGAAGCAGCTGTAAAAACACACGTTAATAAGATATCATTTTAAAGAAAAGAAGATATGCTGAATATACTATTAAATCTACATTACTACACATGAGTAAGCAGGTATGGGAAGGTGTTAGATGTCACCTTTTTGTTCCTGTCCTGTGAGATCAGGGGAAAGGATTAAGATTAGTTTTGATGTCGAGCCAAAAACTCTCAAAGATACAGATGTCTGTTTTTCCACTGCCAATAGCAGTGGTGAACTATCTATCCAATAAATACTATTATTTCAACTGAGATGGTATTTCTGGATTCATTTATCCCCCCAAAAAAACCACCTCTGTTCTCTCTAGACATTTTCTAGGTCCTCTAGCCTGATTTGATGGTATTCCTAGGCCAAAAGTCCTTCACTTCAATAGGGTTGTCTGTTATCTGTGGTTTCACATATCCACACAGATTCAGGAACACATCCTCCCCCCAATATAGGGGGTCACACTGCATAAGGATCACTGGGGTGGTCAAGAGGGGTTGATATCTCAACCCTCACAGGAACCTCTTCCCCATCACAGTTGATGGTTGATCAACTATGCTGATTTTTTGAGCACATTGAAATGTGTATCCAATTTCTTCTGTGGAGCCCCCAACTTCTGTTTCTCTTGATCTGCTGGGTAGCAATAAAGATTATGTGAAGCATTTTTGCAGTTTATTCAAAAGCAATTTATATTGATATCATACGAGTAATATTAGTGTCTCATTGTACTGATTTGGCAGGTACGGTCCCAACTAATCCTTTTTCAATGGCTTAAAATGTCCAGGTTTCCTCTCTCAACCCACTTTGCCCCTTCATTTTCTGCTTACTTACAAACTAAGTTGAAAGAACAAAAGCAGTTTGTGCTCCATTGACTCACCAAGGAAGAGAAGATGGTCAGAATCTTGTCATTGCTAGTAAGCTTAGGCAAAAAGCAAACTGGCAAAGCTTCTTCTAACTTCTGTGTTCTTCTGCATTAGTGGCTTCTGCAATTTTGTCTACACTGATATTTCTTATCCATGTGTATTCTGCTCTTCATTGCTCAAATGTTTCCCCATTTTAGTGATAACAATACATACCAGACTCAAATTCTGAGAGATAAACAGTTTTAACATTACTATCAGCCAATCCATCCCTTCAGAAATGCATGTTCTGAGACTTCAGAGACCTATACATGTTAATTTACCATTCATAAACTCATTGAATTGGTCTGCTCTAGTTGGGAATAGCAGCTGAATTTAGGTCTTGATGTATAATTCTGAACTTGCCATATATGTTAAAAGGCTTTAAACCATCTTTGCTTAATTGAAGATATATTCATAATCAATATCCACAAAAATATGTTGTGTGTCAGTGAGTGCCTACCCCTTCAACTGTGGCAAGATTTATCATATGCATACTGCAAGGAATGGACAAACCCTTGCAAATACTGTGTCACATGACTGTTGTGATTGGAACTTGAAATGTGTCACAGCTTGGGGGGCTCAGAGTAAAAGAATTTCCGCCCGTATTAATTTCTTCCCCAAAGTAGTTGGAATCTACACATTCCCTAGCAGCTCATTTGCTTTCAGTAATTAAAATTTTGTCACAGCAAACGTGTCCTATAAGAGTCTTGTCTTATTCCGTGACTGGTTGTATAATTTAACTACCAGTTGTAAAGTACAATAATATGCACATAAACACAGTTACTTGGGAGCAGAGCCTGTAGCTAAAATCCCCATAGAAACAGACTTCTGATCCAATGACTTGGAAGATGCAAGCAGCAATATAGCTAGCCTCGAATCTGATAGAAGTCTGTTAAGAATATATCCCCAAAACTCCTTTCTTGTCTTGCTAATTATTTCATTTCCCGGAAGTTGTAAAAAGGAAGAAGAGGATTATCTGTCCTCTATCTAGTAACACAGATATCTATATCTAGTGAAGAAACAAATGTTGTTAACTGTTGTAAACACAGATTCTAGATTGTACTGTCCTCAGCAATAGGAAACAACTGGTCAACAAGATAGAAAATAATGGAAAGCTTGGGTGGAAGTAACCACATCCTCCAAGGATGTATTATACAGAGGCAAGGGCAAACTAAGCATAGTAACTTTGGACTTTAAGAAGGCAGATTGAATAGGCTTAAGGAAATAACTGACTGAGATCCCATGGTCCAAAATATTTGAAGAGAAGGGAGTTCATGGTGGGTGAGAGCTTCTTAAATATGAGATATTGAAGGCACAATTGCAAATAATCTCAAGAAGAAATGGAGCGGAGATTAAAAAGAGCCATGTATCAGAAATGGAAGAAGGAACAAAGTACATGGAATTGTTTCATTGAATCTATATACGATAAAAGTCAAAGTATGTTTGCTTGTTTGTTTGTTTTTCTGTCTGTTTATACTACAAAGGCTGTTGCTAGGTGAAGTGACCCTAGTAGAAAATATTTGTAGGAGGAAGATCAGGAGGGCGAAAATGCAAAATGACCTTAAGAATAATAAAATAATGTCTTTTACAATGTTTGAAGGAAGAAGAACAAGGATGCAGTAAGTCCACCATGTGGATAAAATGGTGACACACTAATAGGTGATACCAAAGATTCTGAATAAATGCATGAGAAGAACTTACTGTTAATAAATGCTATTTAACAGTTTCTAAACAAAGTTTGAGTAGCCATCTATGGACAATCTACCTGTGGAATTTGCAGTTGGAACAAAGATCTATTGGGATCCCTTCCAACCATAGGATGCTATAATTCGGTGAATACAGTTGAATCTCACTTATCCATCCTTTGCTTATTCAACATTTTGTGTTATCCAACATTCTTATCCCAAGGAGGGAGGATGCAGGACCAGAAGCAGAAGCGTCCTCCTTTCTTCCCTCTGTGATTTCCATGCTGACTGTGCCTTCTAGTGTGAGCAAGGAGCAGTGGGGAGGAGAGCAGGTGGCGAGAAAAGCAGATGGCATTGGGCAAGCCTGCTACTTCCTTCCTTCCTTGGGCCTTGCAGCTCATATTTTTCGAGACCTTACTTTTTTTCCTGGGCCTTGTGGCCCACTTCTGGGGCCTGCTGTTTCCTTTTTCCTCTCTGGGGCTTTTTCCTGATCATCTGGGCCTGTTGCTCTATGGGGCCTGGCTGTCTCCTTTCTGGAGGCATTGCAAAGCACCCAGGCTTGGCTGCCCCCTTCCCAGAGGCCTTGCAATGCACCTGGGCCTGGCCCTCCTCTTCTGTGGCCAGTTACCTCTTGGTGTCTAGCGCCGCACAGTTGAAACGTAGCACCAAAGACAAGGGAACTGGGAAGGATGAGGGCTGTAGGAGAGTCCGTATTATCCAACATTTTCCTTTATCCGACATTCTGCCAGCCCATTTATGTTGGATAAGCGAGACTCTACTGTACTGATAAAACACATTTAGAAGTTTATTTAGTAAAATAAATAAAGATACTGATTGAAAGGACTCAAAGAGAAACTCAATTGTACTAGGCAGGATTTGAATTCATCCAAAGTACTTAGTTCCAAAGGACAGCAGATAAAAACGGTAACCATCTTATGCCATACAAATGTTTCCAAGCTTTAAAATATGAGGCTTATGTTTCCAAAGAGCTTAGAAAAAAAGTTTATTGAAACTTTTTAGCTTTGCCACTGGTTTAAAGAAACTAATTCTGTGGTCAGTTACATCTGACACAGTGGATGTAAGAAAATAAGAAATCGTTCCCCACAGTTGTGTCATATACTCCCTCTAGTGTTTATTTTTGGATGTAAGCACAGGCAAGTCTTCGAGAGAGAGAAATCCTGGAGTCTAATCACAAAACATCCCATTAATAGGATTAAATAGCTTGTCACTAGATAAGCAGTACATAGCAAAATCTGTGTCACTTGTGGAAATTAGAGCAGCATACAGTCTTGTTCTTTCCTGAGGCCAGAAACAAGTTTGCAAGAGGACACATCAACACGAATGGTAAATACAGTGTTTTACAGATTCTGTTACTAAATGACATTTTTCTCTCTTAAAAGAAACAAGCTTGTTATCTGCAATTACAAAAGTTACATATGTTAATGGATGACCTAGATGTTTGTGTAGCAATTGATTTTATTACTGTTAATATGAAAGCAGTATATCTTCTTATCATTTTTTAAGTAACAAAAAAACTCAAGGTAGTTTTATGTGATAATAAGTTTCACTGAAAGACTTGCGTGATAACAAGTTTCAGAAAAAGTAAAGAAAATCTTGTTTGGAATGTATTTATAGCAATGATAAAATAAATACGACATAAATAATCCAGCCCAAGGTAAGCAATTTTAAATCACTACTAGTTGAAATATTTAGAAATGACATAAATTTTCTGCACTGAAATGGATGGACTGAAATGTATTTGATCAGTGAATATAATCTACCAGGCATGGGCAAACTTCAGCCCTCCAGGAGTTTTGGACTTCACCTCAACACATTTCCGAACAACTGGTAGGTTGTTAGGAATTGTGGGAGTTGAAGTCCAAAACCCCAGAAGGACCGAAATTTGTCCATGCCTAATCTAGAACATGCGATGGTAATTATGAATTAACCAAATATGCTGCCATTAATTTCAATAGCAGGTTAATTAAAAAATTTCATACCCTTGTAATACGGTATTTTATTTAAAACTTAATGCACCTTTAGAATATGGAATAAGGAGAGAAAATGGGTTTCAAACTGTGTGTTAGCATTAACAGAAAAGATAATTAATGGCATAATATTTTTTTATTAATTCTCCTAGTGGGATTCCCATCTGAGAAAACCTGAAAACTGTTAACGTACGACATATTCTACTCTAATCATTCTTAACACAACAAAGATGAAGTCTTTACTCATCTTAATTTACTTAATATGGGCCAAAGGCCATCACTGTGTGCCTATCAAAGATGAAGAATATAATGATGTGGAAAATCTGAAAGGTATGTACATTTCAGAATTATCTGCCTACCTATCTTCCTTAAGACAGTTCTCTTTGGTGGCACCACCTTTTGAAACTCATAAGGAATGAAAAAGCAGGTTCAGGGTTAAACGTGACGATTTCTACATCCTCACTAGAGACATAATCTCATGATCAGATAATACAGATTAGTTATCCCTTCATGCTTTTTAAAAAATGTCCTTCTATGTTAGCAATGCCACCTACTGCAAGTATAAAAACAGAATGTGTTAGCTAGACTATGTTAGTTCTATATGTATTAACTGCAAGGTTTGAGTGTATAATCTCACTATAAAATGATTAGAATAATCTCTAGATCAACTCAAGAGTAGAGTTTACTTTGACATCAGCAGGGGTTGCCATAAAGACCTTGCAGATCTCTCCATGATAATCTGGATTTCAGTACCTTATTCCTATCTATTTGATTTCTATAGTCTTATTCTTCTTATTACGAAATGGTCCAGGTCAAATGAACAGAAAACTGTGAAGATTCTGCAGTGAAACTAAAATACATTTAATTGTCACTTGCGATTAATCTGCAACTATTATCTATTCAAGTGATATTCTATATAGAAAAGCATTTCCTGAAAATATCCTATCCAAAAACAACCTTTATTTAGAAAACTCTGTAGGACATGGGCAGGAAAGTTTTATTACAAGCATTCAGTTTCCACAAGCATTCACAACAGAATGTACGGGAGATTAGAAAGGTCTTTTAAGCAGAACTCTTTTAGTTTTCTATGTGTTCCCTCTATTAATCCCCTAATATGTGATAAACACAAATCATGCTTTGGAAAATGGCAATTTATGAAAATATTGTCATGTACAGCAGAATACTAACTCATGTGGTCAGATTGCCATAGTTATAGCTTCCACTCCTTGTATTGCTCAATTCATATTGGCTTATCTGATAAATACTTTAGATTTACAATGACAACCTTTGGATCCAAGCTCCGTGCCAAGAATAATAGCCTATTAGCACCCATCTGTCCATCACTTTATTTATATCCTCCCTTTCTCCCAGGGTGGTTTACAAAAAGGCAACAAATACCATAAAATCAGATATAGTTGAAAATGTATAAAATTAAGGTTAAAAGGTTGTTAAATGATAAAAGAATGATTTGTTTATTTACTATATTTATATCCCGCTTTCCCTCACCTCAAAGGGGACCACAGTATGGCAAAATTCAATACCACATATACAAACAGATTATATAAAACATATAAATACTATAAGAACTGTTAAAAGCTTTGAAACCAAGTCAGAGTTGTGGTTTGGGTTGCTACAGTTATGCTGATTCTTATTCAAACACCTGCTTGCACAGCCAGGTCTTTACTCTTTTCCTGTAAATGAGGAGGGAGTTCCACATCCGAGGGGCCACCACTGAGAAGGCCCTCTCTCTTATTCCCACCTGTTGTGCTTATGACAGGGGTGGGACTGAGAGCAGGGCCTCCCTGCCAGATCTTAATGCTCTCGCCAGTTCATAGGGAGAGATATGTTTGGACAGGTAAGTTGGGCCAGAACTGTAAGCCTTTGTAGGCTAAAGTCAGCACTTTGAATAGTACTCGGTAGCAAACTGGCAGCCAGTGGAGCTGACATAACAAGGGGGTTGTATGCTCCCCGTACGTTGCTCCAGTGAGTAATATGACTGCCATCTGTTGGACTACTTTAACCTTTTGAACAATCTTCAAAGGCAGCCCTATGTAGAGCACATTGCAGTAGTCCAGTTGGGATGTGACAAGAGAGTGAACTACCGTGGCCTAGTCTGACTTCCCAAGGCATGGGTTCAACTGCTGCAAAGTTTTAATTAAACCACTTAAAATCTTACTTTAAAATACAGTATCATAAAAGTCTGGGTTTTTTTTTTAAAAAAAATCAGTTCCCAAAGGTTTGCTGGAAAAGAAGAGTCTTAACCTACCACCAAACTGACAACAAAGAACGAGCCATCCTAGCTTTCTTTACCTCTTTTAAAACATTCAAGCAACTCTCATTCTATTGAAAAGAAATGTCTTTTCAAAAATAGGTTAAAAACAGCTAGGGCAGCAGGCCACTTACACATCATCAAAGAAGAAAACAAAGGAAGACAGAGATTTCCATAAAATGTTCATGGGCATATACATACACTCTCATACACACATGCTAATTTAGAAATAATGACTGTATAAATAATTGCTTTATAAATATATCTTACTTGTAGTGGAGACGACAAATCTAATGACTTATGTGGGCTGTGCTATTCAAATGTCGACCCTTTTGTTAGTTAAGGCCAGACAACCCCTCAAATAAAGGACAAGAACTCTTCTCTACAAAGAAGCATATCACCACTAACGTAGGAGCATAGTTGGGGGAAATTAATTTTTGGACTATTCTGCTGGAAACATGCTGAAACTTATTGTTCAAAAAGTAACTTTCCTAAGTCTTCTCTAGGGTTTGCATTAAATTTAGGTTGAGCATCCCTTACCTGGAAATGCAACATCCTCCAAAATCTGAAATTGTCCACATAAATGGCCTCAGTTTTCTGATACCTATAGTTAAATGTTCATCTACTTTGTTTCATACACAAAATTATTCAAAATATTCAGGATGTGTATATAAAGGAGCCTCCTGTGGCACAGTGGGTAAAACTGCAGAGCTGCAGAACTTGGTGCCTGAAAGGTTGGCAGTTTGAATTGGGGGAACAGGGTGAGCTCTTGCTGTTAGCCCCAGCTTCTGCCAACCCAGCAATTCGAAAGCATGCAAATGTGTGTAGATCAATAAGTACCACTCCAGTGGAAAGGCAACAGAGCTCCATGCAGTCATGCTGGCCACATCACCTAGGAGGCCTCTATGGACAACGCCGGCTCTTTGGCTTAGAAATGGAGATGAGCACCACTTCCCAGAGCTGGACATGACTAGATTTAATGTCAAAACGAAACCTTTACCTGTTATGTGTATAAAGTGTATACCAAACACAAATGGATGCCGTGTTTAGACTTAAGTCTCATCTCCAATGTATCTTACTATGTACATACATCCAGATACAGCTATACCAAATCTGAAAAAACAAAACAAAAACAAAACCCAAGCACTTTTTGTTGCAATAGTAGAAAGCAATTTATGGAATATGATCCTACATCCCATCCTTCTCCACTATAAAAGGTAAAGGGGGATGGTGCACATCTCCATTTCTAAGTTGAAGAGCCAGCATTGTCCGTAGACACCCCCAAGGTCATGTAACTGGCATGACTGCATGGAGTGCTGTTACCTGCAGAAACAGTACTTATTGATCTACTCACATTTGCATGTTTTCGAACTGCTAGGTTGGCAGAAGCTGGGCTTAACAGTAGGAGCTCACCCCGCTCCCTGAATTTGAACCACCAATCTTTCGGCCAGCAAGTTCAGCAGCTCAGCTGTTTAACCCACTGCATCACCAGGTGGTTAACCACTGTAGTGTCCCTGAAAAAGTTACCCCTGAGGATCATGAACTATTCTATGAGAAAGGTTCAGAAAGAAGATGGTTGGAAATAAGGTGGAAGTACCTTCCTCCATGTTAGCAGGAGTGCCGCCTGTAAGAATGTGCCTTTATCCATGATGTCACGTGCCCCGGCCTGAATCATTCAGGCTGTTTCTGTAGTAATCAGGATAGGCGTTGGCTGGATTGCCAGCAGAAGTGGAGAAATTGATATCTGAATAGTTCCTTCTATGAGACCAAAGTTACACTCTACTTTCCACTTTTCCAAACTGTTTGGAATGTAACAGATGGATGAAAATGTATTCAAAGTTAAAGGTATGTTAACCTAAAGAGAAGTACAGAAATCCTTTAGCACCCTTGAAACTAACTGGAAAAACACATTTTGGCATCAGCTTGAGTGATTCTATAAGCCACAAAAATTGAAAGAAATTTTTTATTTCTCTGTCTCCAAGGTGCCACAGGTTTCCTTTATGTCTTTTAAGCTGATGAAAAATACATAACTTGGTGAAAGAAAAGCAAAGATGCAACCCATGGATGTGGGGAGTAGAGTATGGAAATGGTCGTTTGCAATGTTATATATGACAAATTATACTGGATAGGAATGGAATTTCCATTAAAGAGGAATAAACTGAATTTGCACTTTTCAGAGTTCTGCTTCATAACACATCTGTTATTTTGCCAAAATAGCCTTGTTGAATGGCTAACAAAGTCTGTCGGCACATTGCCACTATGAATCTTTCCTACTTTGTATTTGAATGCTGATGATACTTGTATATAATACAATGTATATAATGTGAAATATATTTCCAAATAGAAAAGAGAGGGTTCTTTACTTGAAGATACAGTAAATACCATCAGTTAAGTTGAAACATATGGCATTTGAGAAGTATAAATAATTTGCAATCAATGGATTCTAGATTCTCTACTTTAACATGCACTAAGGAGTTTGATCTTATTAGACAGAAATACAAAGACTCATTTTTTTCTTGACTAGAATGTATTAATTATAATACCATGTTTAAACCCCAACATAAAAGACAGTTTTTAAAATAAATAAATAAATTTGCGCCCTCAGTTTTGTCCGAAGTTGGAGAAAAATATGTAGACGAAGAAGTAAAGAAAGCCTTGATAGGCATTAAGCAAATGAAAATCATGATGGAAAGAAACGAACTCAAGCACACGGATCTGATGAAAACCTTAAAGAAGAGCAGTGAGGAAAAAGAGGTAATGTGTTAATATATATGCAAAATCTCTTTTCATTGCTGGATTTCTGATGTTTTTACACTATTTCTGAATGCTTGTCCTTGTGAATTAGAAATCAAATAAAATATTTTGATCCAATGTAAGTTTTGACTGGAGCAGCTGTTTTGCCTGATTTCAAATGGGCGAGTTCCATTGTTAACAAAAAAAGGAAATGAAATGCATGAGGTTGCCATAAGTCAACAGGTGACTTGAAGACATACAAGCACATAAAGATCCCATTAACATTGTAGAGTTCACTCCCAATGGAGAACCTGGACAAGAGAGCTTGTGTATTTACTGCGGATCCTTTTCTAGTTCTGTTTTCTGGGATGTCCCATCTATTTTATGTGGCATTCCATATTTTATTTGATATTCTATCCATTCCAAAAGAAACTTAGATCTGCTTAAGCTTTCTTCTTGTTATAAGATCCCCATACTGGTTGGGGATGAAGGGAATTGTAGTTCTTCCTCATCTTCCAATGCATATGGAGGAGACTAGGCTGTGTAAGATTGATCTGCTTTCCAGTTTGTGCCCATTAACATATCTTTTACCACTTCAGACTATTTTAACAGCAGATCATCTCTTTCATGTCTACACACTATTAATTGTATTAACTTGTTGGAACAGCTGAGTATTTCTCGCAGTTTGACACTTTTTAGAGTTCTGTTGGTGGAATCGTGGTCATTGAAGTGATTTGAAGCAAACTATGTATCTTGACATAGATCTCTATGGAAGCTCTGTGGGAAATGATATTCTTTGTGTAATCATNCTACTGTCAGCTGGACACCGTCCTATCGGGGATACCTAAGGAGGACAAAATCATCCTCCTGGGGGACTTCACGGCAAGAGTCGGCCGAGACTTCGACCTGTGGCCAGGGACCATAGGAAAAGACGGGGTTGGAAACAGCAACTCAAATGGCATCCTGCTTCTCACCAAATGTGCGGAGCACAACCTTGTCATCACCAACACGCTCTTCCGCCAGAAAAACAAGTTCAAGACATCATGGAAGCACCCCCGGTCAAAGCATTGGCACCTCTTAGACTATGTAATCACACGTGCCAGAGACCGCCGTGACGTGCTCCTCACAAGAGCCATGACAGGTGCTGACGACTGCTGGACTGACCACAGGCTAATTCGATCCTCGATGGCTATCAAGATCCTTCCCAAGCGCAGACTCCAAGGAAGGAAGACAAGGCGCAAAATGAACACCCAAGCCCTTCAGAAGCCCTCCAGACAAGCCCATCTCCAAACAGCACTCAAGGACCATCTACCCACAGTACACCCCGAAAATGTTGAGGAACATTGGAACAAACTGAAGACCTCCATCATCCAAGCCTGCGAAGAAACTATTGGATACCAAGCCAAGAAACATCAAGACTGGTTTGATGAAAATGACATCGAGATCCAACAGCTAATTGACAAGAAAAGGAAAGCCTTCCAAGCATGGCAGAGAGACATCAACTGTGCAGCTAAGAAAAAGATCTATGCCAGTGCAAAAGCTGAGGTCCAAAGGTCCAAGAGAACTCAAGAACATCTGGTGGACAAAGAAGGCCGAAGAAATCCAACACCTGGCAGATACCCATAATGCTCAGGGATTTTTCAAGGCCACAAAGGTCATCTACGGACCAAGAAACCATGGCATACAGCCTCTACGCTCATCAGATGGATCCAAACTCCTGAAGGACCAAAACTCAATTGCACTACGTTGGAAAGAACACTACCAAAGCCTCCTGAACCGCAGCTCCAATGTGGCCGAAGAGGTCCTCTCACAAATCCCACAACAACAAACCAGGGATGAGCTTGCAGCACTGCCCAGTTTGGAAGAAGTCAGCAATGCCATCAGCCAACAGAAAAATTACAAAGCCAGTGGACCAGACGGGATCCCTGCTGAAATCTTTAAAGAGGGAGGACCTGAGCTGACACACCAAC